CTTTTCAGAGTTGAGCTGTGCTTCTGTACCATAAAGTTTAGTTCATCTCGTATTTTGTAAAGACTAGTTCGCTCTGTTCGCTGTATTTGTGTTGGTAAATGTTTATATCTTGCTTTATATATCAACTGTACAGTCTGGAACTCAACAACATCATAAAACTTCACAATCTTTGAATTTATAAATAATGGGTTTGTATGATTCGAAATCCCACTTTGTTAATTATTCGAATGGCTCTTTTTTGCAGCATCACAAATGGTTTTACTGTGTTTTTGTAAGTGTTTCCCCAAATCGCAGAGCAGTAATTCAGATATGGCAGAATCAGAGAACAGTATAAAGTGTGAAGAGCTTTGAAATTTAAGATGTAATTTGCTTTTGCTATTACTGAGATACTTTTTGATATTTTAGTGGATATGTATTGAACTTGAAGCCTAGTTTTTGTTTTTGTTGTTTCTGTTATAATTTTCCTGGTGAGAGAGATACAAATGTAAATACTCAAATATTTAGGTAAGATTATTTAACTGGTGATGATAGTAACTAAACCATGAATGACTAGGGGGTATTGGCAGCCGTGACCACACTTGGTACTTGATCATTCACTGATGTTCTGTTTTATATCGCACCCTGTCAGCATGACTTTCACCCCTCACTGTCCCAAAACTAACTTTGTCCCAAAACTAACCTTGTCCCACTCGTCTTCAACTAAAGCTCATCTATTATACTTCCAACAAACACAGAATCACTTCACATTGACATAATATTGGGCACAATATTCATTTCTTGTTTTGGTAGAAGTCGGTCTCCTACAGTTACAGTCAGTCAATCTGACTATAATGACCAGTGATTATTAAAGCTGGAGTACCTGTGGTTTGAAAGTTAGGTACCCCAGCTTTAAATGAACCAATACCATGTGATACTGTCCCACATAGCAGCAAGTTTGTGTTAGAAATGAGAAAATACTACTTAAAATCATCGACCAGCATAATAGATCCCCTTCACTCATTATGAATTTGTAAACACATTTTCTGCTATTAATTGTAAACTTGTTCTAGACTTTTCTGCGGCACATTCAGACAACGTGAATCTTGTTTTAATGTGTCTATAACAGATTCATAATCACCGATCAAATTCTGTTTTTACCTACAATGCATCAGTTTACATGACAAACACAGTCATGGGTGCTAACATTACTGAGGAGGACATCTCTTTGTCACACGCTCTTATGTAAAGGGCTCTGGTGCTACATGACGCTACTTTTCAAAACCCACTGTGTATATTTGAAAAAGTAAAGGATTAAAACGTTCCACAAATATTTTTCTGAGCACTGAGAATGTCAAAATGATACTTTTTGTCCTGCTGTCTATATACGAGGCAAGGCCATGGTGCTACATTTGTAAAGCTATTTCTTACACAACGCTACAAATCATCTTGTGTTTGCATATAGGGGATATCAATAGAAACTGTACTTGAAGACATTTTAACTAGGAAATGACATATATAAAGACTGTTAAGTTGTGGAAGGCTCTAGAACCCTCCTTGTTCTGTTGTAATTGTCCAACTCTCCAACATCACATCAATGGTAAACTGCCTCCCCTATCGTTTCCATAGATATGCACTTGTACATTTGCCTTTTTCACTCACGTACGCTGATTATTTTTGCATCTTAGAAATCTTGAAACTCTAAATCTGACTTGAGGCCCATAAAAAGTGGTGAACGTAAACAACAGGCAGCTACATTTGTTTTTGAGTTTTAGGATTTGTTTTTCATGTCAAGGATGCAGTATGTAAAAAAAAAGTGCTTCTGTTCAGTCTCTCTCTTTGTAGCTGTATGGTGTAACATGTGAATACATAGTGTATGTGGTGAAAAGCCCACAATATTGTTTTATGTTGCCAGATAAATAAAAATGTTGAAGTGAAAACACCTCTTGTGACTCTGGTTTTGTCCTGTAAGTGCAGTTACACTGACTGTCCAGAAGGGGGAACTATTCACCCAGGCGTCTTCCCTTTTTCCCCTTTTCAGGTATACATTCTTAAAATCATCGGTGTGTGAAAGGTAGTGATTTAGTTCGTGCATTGCAGAGAGTCAGACTTAAGTCGCTGTTTTTGAATCTCGACACAAAACTGGACTTGGACTCGTCCCTAACGACTTGGATTTATACAGTCATTGTTTGAACATTCGAAGACTATTCACATGTCATCCATCTGCTCCATACGCAGTGGTGATAAACTACTACTGTAGCCACAGCTGCCCTGGGGCACACTGACAGAAGTGAGGCAATCATTATGTGGCATCAGCCCCTCCTCCCACCACCAACCATTCATGCACACACACTTTAGGCAATGTAGGAGAAGGGACACAACAACAGTTTGGCACTTTACAACTGCCCCACTGTGGAAGCTGTTGTTCCCATCACAGTACTAACCAGGCCCTGCTCTGCTTAGCTTCATACTGTAGGTCTGACGGGGTCTGGCTTTCAAATGCAGGTATGGCCACAACTTGGACTTGTATTTTGAAGACGCAGAAGTCTATATGGTATTGAATCTCCAAAAACAATCTCATGTCTCTCGCCCTTCTTCTCTTTGCCTCATAGTAAACAGGATTGCCTCTTCATGGATCTGACCTGTAACTCCACCAACAAGTTTCCATGAGTTACACAACATAAGTTCAAAATGGCAGTGAAGGGAGTTCAATAGTAAACTAACATGACGTCTCAATGTGAAAGATAAGATAAGAATTCCTTTATTCGTGCCACAGTGGGGAAATTTCGATGTTGCATCGCACAGACAGGACAGTTGTAAGAGCACACAGGGATCACACACAATATATACACTATATACAAATAAGTAGTAGCTATGTTTCTTAACTAACATAACTAGCTGTAGATGCTGAAAAAGCTTCAATACCAGTCAAAAAAGATATATGTAGTAGTGCAGTTATATACTGTACAGTTAAATAGTTCAGGATAAAAAGTATATAAGTAAAGTGACATGAGGTAAAGTGACATTGTTCTGTGACATTCTGAAGTTGCACATTGCACATGATTTAAGAATTTACTTAATTACAGATGAAAGAAATGTACAGGCTCAGCAGTTCTTATTGTACAGTCTGACAGCAGCAGGAAGGAAAGACCTACGGAACCTCTCCTTCACACAGCGAGGGTGAATTAGTCTGTCACTGAAGCTGCTCTCCAGAGCAGAGAGAGTGTCCTGCAGGGGGCGACAGTCATGGTCCAGCATAGATGTTAGTTTGCTCAGGACCCTCCTGTCCCCCACCTGCTGCACTGTGTCCAGGGAACAGCCCAGGACTGAGCTGGACTTCCTGATGTTCCAGCTTCTTCCTGTCCCTCTCTGTGATACTGCTGTTCCAGCAGACCACACCGTACAAGAGGCTGATGCCACCACAGAGTCATAGAAGGTCTTCAGGAGTGGCCCCTGCACTCCAAAAGACCTAAGTCTCCTCAGTAGGTAGAGGCGACTCTGGCCCTTCTTGAAGAGAGCGTCTGTGTTATGAGTCCAGTCCAGTTTGTGGTTCAGATGAACACCCAGGTACTTGTAAGAGTCCACTCTCTCGATGTCCTTTCCCTGGATGTTCACTAGAGCTGGAGCAGCAGAGTGACGTCTGCGGAAATCCACCACCATCTCCTTAGTCTTCCCCGCGTTGATGAGGAGGTGGTTCTGCTGACACCAGTCCACAAAGTCCTGTATAACTCCTCTGTACTCTGTGTCATCGTCCTCGGAGCTGAGTCCGATGATGGCAGAAGCAAGTGAATAAATAAACTGAAGACTTGCTCCAATATCCAACACTTTTATTGTTTATTAGAATGACACAGCGACCCGGCAACGGATAAAGTGGAAGAAAATGGACGGATGGACTCAGGACTCATACAGAGTGTAACCTGTGGGTGGTACGTAGGTGACATAAACTACAGTTTGACTCGAACTCATCTGACTTTTGTTGTGACGCTCCAAAGTGAAAGAGCTTCAGGACGAATAACAGAGAAACGCTGACGACACACGCTCTTTACAGATCCATTTCAGCTCCAGCAACGAGAACAAGTGCAGTGTCATCATAAATGTTTATATTCATTCATCTTCACATCATATTCTCTACTGCAGGGTCTCATGGGCTCCTTTATCTACATTTTCATAAGGGACATATTTTCTGAGGGGCCATGGTTATGCACTGAGCCGTATATACTTTCACACATAAATGTAATTTTGGTGTTTCATATTAAACTATACTAAACTAGTTCCAACCAGGATTATTCCAGAGTTATACAAATAAACAAGATATTTATTCCATTCATATTTGGGAGAGGGGCTGCGAGTCGGATCATATTGCTGGACTACAGTGTATCAAGAGTTTATTTATGAACAAAAGCTACAATTTTATCTGCGTTTACTTCAAGAAAATTGGTTATTACATTGATATAGTTTAAGCCTTTTTTATTTTAAGTAAGTGTTTTTTTCATTTCTTATATTACGAAGCATTTACAGCTATCTTAAAAGCATTTAAATGTTGGGTTTGAGTTTATGGAAAATCTATGCAGACACAGGGAGAACATGCAAATTCCACACAGATGGGCCCTGTTAGGAGGTGGAATCGAATTAACGACCTTCTTCCTGTAAAGAAATAAGACCAAAGATAGATAAGAAAGGATAGAATTTAAACTAGGGAAAAAATAAAATACTACTACTACTACTACTATAACTACTACTACTACTATAACTACTACTTGGATGTCTCTGGTATATTATTACTACTTTTCCTTTAAAACTGCTAACGCCATTGTTATGTTACTAACTTCCTTCGGCTTTGGCTTTACCTGGCTACATGTGACGTCAGAGCTCAGTGTGAATTCTGATTGGTTCAAAAATAACATTAATGTCCATCACAAATGTCCCGCCCTCTTTTATGGGGGAAATAAATCCGTGACTTTATCTCGTCCCTCACATTCTTCTTCCACCGACTCTGAAAACACACGTCTCCACAAACTTCAACAATGAGTCTCCGAAACGTGTTTCTTCTGGTCAGTGTTTGTGGACTGGGACTAACGTTACTTATAAAGGACGCTGAATCAAGTGAGTGGGAATTTCTCTCTCCTCGATATGAAATACTTTATGTTTATATTATTTAAGTGTATATCTTACTGTCTGCTTTGGAAATAAATATATCATGAATACTATTATAATATTTGGACGTTTTAGACGTTTGTGTTTGCTTCATTATCTCATCAGCGTTTTCCTGTTTTTAAGGTTAGTGAGTTTGATTGTTTATATTTGTCCTAATATTCTCTTTGGTCGAATACAACTGAAATAAGACTTTTACAGGTATTTAAAAAACGTTACATTATTACATTACAAGAACACAGGAGCTAATATTACAGACTACGCAGTTAGTTTTTTACTTTCACTTTTGCACACTCGCTCCTTTTTACCTAGCGACAGATGACGTTGGAATCTGATTGGTTAAAAAAGGTCTTATTACAGAGACAAAATGTAAAAGACAAAATATATCTTCCTGATATTTTAAAGTGAGTGCATGTAACTTTTCTAGAGGAGTCTGTATTTGTATTCGAACAATCAGCACTTATGAGGAAGAATAGTTTTCCTCTGTCAATAAATGTAATAAACATTTGGAAACTGCCATTTTGTTTTTACTGAGAATGTTTGACATAATTAAAAACATCTTGGTGATCAGAAACATGTCGATTAATTAAGGAAGGGGGCGAATACTTTTACCCAGCTGTACATCTGCACTTTTAGGGTTCACTTTATGTTTAATGTGATTAATACTTTCTGTTGGATTTAGACACAATATTGTCTGAGTATTGTTATTGAGTACCTAAGTAATAAGGTCAGCACTGCTCTACATTTGTCAGTGTTGTCCTCCTCTAGTGAATGTCCATGTGTCCCTTTGTCATGTGTGAGATTTCATGTGTTTTGTCTCTGTTCTGTTCACAGTGGTTCACTCTCTGATCTATTTTGAGACTTCTTCGACTGATGTCACAAACTTCCCAGAGTTTGTCTCTGTTGGTTATGTGAACGGTCTTCAGATCACTCATTATGACAGTAACACAAAGAGAGAAGTGCCCAAACAGAAGTGGATGGAGAAGATCACAGAGGACGACCCACAGTACTGGGACAGAAACACAGAATTACATTTGAACAGTGAGATGGTGGACAAAGTCAACACTGAAACAGTAAAGCAGCGCCTGAACCAGACTGAAGGTGTGTCTCATTCCACTTCTACAGCTCAGATTGTCAAATGTTGTTGTGTGTGAGAACAGTAGAAAAGAATCATATATTACATTCATGAAGCTCTTTGTGTGACCTTGTTCTGTGAAATGTGCTATATAAATAAATATGACTTACTTACATCTTATATGAGGTTTTATTTCCTCTCACTGTTATATTTTATTCATATTTCAGCTGAATCACATCTGATCATGTTGTTACATTATATTCAGCATTTTAAAATAACTGGAGAAATTAGAATCAACACAAAATGTATAAATGTGAATAAAAGCTTCTTGTGTTTCTCTGTCAGGTTCTCACATGGTTCAGAGGATGTCCGGCTGTGAATGGAACAATGAGACCAATGAAATAAATGGATATTATCAGTTTGGTTTTGATGGAGAAGACTTCATCGCCTTTGACCTGAAGACTGAGACTTTTGTGGCTCCGAGACCAGAGGCCGTCGCCACCAAACACAAGTGGGAGAGGATTGGAGTGAATGTTGAAAAGAAACACTACATCACTCAGGAATGTGTGGATTATTTGAAGAGACATGTGAGAAATGGACAGAGCGTTCTCATGAGGAAAGGTAACATGTTTCAGATCAACTTCAAAATGAAAATAAAACATGACACAGGTCTCTGGATCTGTTCAATACAAATAAAACATCTATGTTTCACTTTCAAATCATTAAAATAGTATCAAACAGATTTTAACACTGAAAAACACTTTACAAAACCAAACAGAAACCAACATCACTGTTCGTCTGTTAAGTTCAAGGAGCTTTGAGTAAATGAAATACATGTAAATTCTGAATATGGTTTGATTTCAAATATCTATAAAAGATTGTACATGATTATCTAAATACTTTACACACTTTTATTTTATTGTTTATATGAAGTTTGCCTTTTCAAGTGGGAGATTGTATTTTATGAAATATTACAGGAAATAATTGTAATATTTTCATAATGGATTAATTGAGCCATTATTCCTTCAGAACCTGGATATGTGGTTTTTATGTTAATTTGTCACAGAAAAGTTTAAGTATTTTATCATTACATCCAGATATTTATGCTTTTTTGTAATTACTTCCCCATTTCACTTTTGTAGCCAATAATTCCCTTTGGCTGACGTGTCCACAATTTGGTACAGAAATCAGACTAAAGATTCTCCAAGTTTAACATCTGCATTTAATTATCTTTACAATCAGATACAGAATATTCAACAAAAAGTGCTCCTATTCTATGCCTGCTCTCTCCCTGTGCGTTGCCCCTGTCCTGTCTGACCTCAAAAACCCTCAGAGGGCACATATACGAGAGACTTCCGATGACGTCATCCATATGCGTCCAAGGGTGGAGTTTTCCGGGTGTGCTGACGTCCCTTGTCCACTGGGAGGCGTCAGAATGCCGTTGGTGAATCTCCCAGTCTGCCTCAAGATCAGGTTCTGAACTTTTGCCCTCGTCAAAATGTTTATTATTTAAAGTTAATAATTCGCCCTGTTTAAACAGCATTTTATCTTTATGACTCATGTCTGATTATCCTGTGTCCTTGAGACTTAAACTGTCTGAGAGAACAGGTCTTGTTTGGCTATGATGAAAATTAGGACCATTGTTCAAAATGGTCAAATATTAAAATATACAACACTTTCATTTGTCAAAGTCTGGAAATAAAGTAATTCACGATTCATAAATTACTAAAATAGTCCATTATCGATTTAACTTGATTAATTTTGATTAATTTCCCAACAGCACGTATTAGTCTCAGGTTCATTGACGTCTAAAGCGTCTTAAAAGATATTTTAAACAGATGAGATGCATATTTTAAGATTAAGAGATCCTTTATTCGTCCCACAGTGGGGAAATTTCAGTGTTGCATCACAAGTTATAGAACAGTAGGAAAGAGGAGCACACAGCACAAGATAAATGAACAATAGCTGTAGTAATTAAAATAAAACCAAATCTCTAACTTTAGCATCAAATAACAAGTATTAAATCTCTATCTTGAACATAATAATTAGTCTTTATGACACATTTGTGAAATTACACTTTTAAATGTCAATTTTTTTTTCTTAAATACAACACTGTTTAAAACATCAGGCTGAGTTCTAAAACAATCATGAATGTAATATAAGTCATTTTGAAACTTTATTTACATATTTAACTCATGTTTTGTGGTTTATATAATCAGAATTATTTTTATTGCCGTTGTGAGTAACAGGAAGTCACTAAGAAGAGCGACTTTAACATACTTCTGTGTTTAATCTTATTTTTTTTTCCATCTCAAAATCTTTAAGTATTCATTAATGTGACTTTGTTAGATAGATATTTTGACACAGTTGTCTGATTTATTTTGACTCTGTTGTTGTGTTGACAACATTCTCATCTCCTGGACTCCTCCTCTTTCCCTCCTTCAGTGATATTGAGGAATCAAGGACTGAGTGAATAGATTTGGGATGCGCCCAAACAAAAGCTGTTGTTTCTAAACTGAAGAGCAGAAGTGAACTTGTATTTGTTGTTTTGCCTCCAGAGCTCCCCCTGGTGTCCTTCCTGCAGAAGTCTCCCTTGGCCCCGGTCACGTGTCACGCCACAGGCTTCTACCCCGACAAGGCCCTGCTGTTCTGGACCGTCGACGGAGATGAGTTGCACGATGGCGTGGAGTTCTGGGAGATCCTGCCCAACAACGACGACACCTTCCAGATGAGCACAGACATCGACCTGTCCTCTGTCCCGCCTGAGGACTGGGGCCGCTACCAGTGTGTGTTCCGGCTGTTGGGAAAGCCAGACATGTACTTCAGGCTGGACCCAGACAAGATCCGGACCAACGGTGAGAGCCATTCTCTCCTCTCTGTCACAGCAGTAGCAGCAGTCGGGTAAACACATATTAAAGCCGGGGTTCCTAACTTCCCATATCCTGTCAGCTCTACATTGTCATTTAATATTTTTGGAGTAAAGGATATAAATGTGACACCAAACAGCAGAGAGATCAATTTCTGATTAAACTATTTGTGATAATATAAAACACATTGGTCCAAAAGTTCAGCAGAGAAGGACACGACCGTAACATTTCAGTTTTCTGTCACAGTTTGGGTCAATATCAGTGAATCCAGCTCACTAAACCTTTGTAAATGTTTTGTTTTGTAGTTTATTCTTTTCATTAATATCCTAAATGTTTTGTTTTAACAGCAAAGAAGCACACAGGCCTTATTGCAGCTGCTGTGTCTGTCTTTGTTCTCGCTCTCTTTGCTGCTGTTGTTGGATTTGCTCTCTACAGATGGCGTAAAGGTAATATTATTATGCATGTATTTGATTCCATGTGTTGTTCATATTAGACAATTAGAAAACGTAACAGAAAATGTCCGTGTTTCTCTTTCAGCCAAGCAGATCACGCCTCGTAAGTAACTCCTTTTACTGTGTGTGTCTTAAAGGACCAAACATCTGCTTGTTCTAAAATATTATATTGCCTTAATCAACTTTATGTTAATGATTATACATATCCATCTATATTTCAGCTCCCAGTGAAGCAGGGGTTCAAAGAGAATTGGTTCCAAGTAAGAAAAATATCAACTTTTGATTGATGGATTGTTATTTATTTGAGCATTTTACAAACATATTTTTCATTATTACAAGATTACACTGTTATAAAGTAGCTCAAAAGGAGTAGGCTGAAGCAAGAAAGTTTATTAGTGTGACACCAAACAGCAGAGATCAATTAAATGTGTATCAGCGTTGAGTGATAGAAAAGTAAGTAACCCTAACCCTGACACAAGCCATAGAGGCAAATACGGATAAAATATGAATATTTTTTGTAGACGATAATAAAATAAGCTCAGCTAAAATATGTCCACTTTCATTTATGTGACATTTAGTAAATATAAATGATCAGACAGAAATGATAAAAGAAAATACTGTTTTCTGTGGATATAAACTTCTTTCAACTTCATTTCTTTTCCATGAGGATTGTATTATTACTAGGGCTGTCAAACGATTAAATTTTTTAGTTGATTAATCGCACAGTAGAGGTGAGTTAACTCACGATTAATCACATTTTTAACATTCTATTTCAAATCCACTCCAATTGAAGTTAAATGAGATTATCAAATGTAATGACACATTGTCATTTATACCAAATGTACTTAAATCTGTTTGATTCACAAACTTTTACTTTTGGGCACAACCAACATGAGCTGTTAATGAAAGGGAAAATGTACGTACCCCAGCTTTAATTTAGCGAGTTTAGGTTAGTTGCGTTTCAGGAGGAGACAAGGAGTCTTCCTGAGGCTCATAGTTGAGGTTCAGTATTTGCGTGCTCTGGTTACACACAGGTTACGCAAAGACACACACACAACATGCAGAGAATAGTCCTGTGTGTGTATGGTCTTGGATATGATCACGTTATCACGGCGCCATTCGCCGTGTTGTTGTTAGCGTCTCACAGCCGCTGGAGGTGGGAACCTCTGTCCAGAGCGGCCGCAGCTGCCCCGTGTCAGAACGCTGCAGCCACGGAGGAGGCAGAGTTAAGTTCATTCAGCAAACAACAGCAAGTGCCCCGCAGTCACGCGCGTATTCTTTATAAACGTGAATTCCCAGAGGGCCCACCTGCTCTGTTGCCATCTCACACACGCATGTGTCCGCGGCATTCTGAGGTCATTTGGAAATGCGTTAAACGCGTGAATTTTTTTAAACGCAATCATTAAAAACATAATTAACTTGAGTTAACGCGATAATTTTGACAGCCCTAATTATTACTGTCTTTCTCTATTGTCTTTCTCCAGGCTCAGGCTCAACAGAAGCAGAGGAGGCTGAACAACCACTGGCCCCTGGACCACAGTGACACATGTGACGTGTTCTGAGTGATGAGAAAAGAGAGAAGCTTTTGTCCAGAGGAATTACTAAAGGTTTTATGATCGACAAACGGCTCAAGAGACATTTTTACTGTCGCTGGTTTGAAGAAGAAATATTAAAGATCGCTCCTCTACAAATATGTGCAACAGTTTTGAAGTTAGAGCTGAGGTCGTATCAAGTCTTTTAAATGTTTTCTTCTCACTAAACCAGATAAATAACTGAATATGATTGTGTTTAGATCCCATTATGTTTTTATCACAAATAGTGGTGAAAAACGCTACATATGAAGTTTTATAATATATTTTTATGCATTTATTATTCATTCCTTAAACTCTTTCCAGTTGTGTAAATAGATGTGTTTGGACGAATAGATTCTTATGTTTCAGCTGTGGTTTTTTTTCATTTGCTTTAGGACATTTGTCCATTTTGTTTGGGGTATGTGGTAAAAAGATGTACTTTTGATTTGCTTTTAAATAAACAACTAAATCAATAATGTGTTTTATATATTTCAACATGTTCCATGATCTGTGAGTGCTCTTGTTTCTCTGTAAATGAACCTTTTCCCTCATAAAACTGGGTCAGAGCCTGAAGAACATCTGCAATCAGTGAGTCCAAAGTTACACGGAAGTGTTTATTTGCAACAATATTTGATTGAAATCCTTATCCTCATTTATCTTCTAGTCTAAAGAAAAGTGTTTTATTAGCCATGTACAAGTAGATTCATGCAAGTGTCTTTAAGCGTGATGTAAATACAATAACTTATTAGTTACTCTGGGAACAGAGCCAGTTTGTCCTTTAGCAAGACACTTCACCCACATTGTATAAAATGAGTGGTGTGTGTGTGAAGGGTTGGAGGTGGTCTGAAGCGCTGATGCCTTGCTTCTGTCGGTGTGCTCCAGGGCAGCCGTGGCTACAGTAGTAATATAATATAAACAAGAGTAGTAGTAGTTGTATTACTAGTATATGAAGTTGTCTCATTGTGATGACAGTGACTTTCAGGCGTCTGGACAAGATAGCACCATTATGATTACAAACCTGCATCAACACTTCACATTCATTCCCACGTTTTGGACTCACAAAGTAACACTTATTGTTAAAACATGAAGTTAAAGAGCCGTTTCCTGTCAATCATTCACAGAAGATAGTCGTCCTTCCATCAGAGCCTGTTTGCTTCCAGCGTTCATCAGACTGAAGCAAACTTTCATAGACCCTTGATCTACAGTGTCTTTCGAGTCCCAAAACCGGGCTTGGACTGTCCCTGGGATCGTGGTTTCTTCTGTGAACTGTACAGTGACGCTGGCCGGAGCGGTGACTGATCTACTCCCTGTAACACAAGAACAAGACCAGTCTGAAGGACATTTTCTGGTTAATAATCGTGCCATCTGACTCAACGATGTTATCTATTGAAGAATATAAGAGGCGTTCTGAATGACTACTAAACAGAACTGGAAGGAGCAGCCAGAAAATGTACTTGTTGACAGTACCTACAAAAAATATAAAATACGAGCAGAAATGAAAAAGTGGAAACTATAACAGTAAATGATCAGTATACAGACTGTGTGGACACAATAATAGGACAAAACATAAGATAAGATAAGAATAAGATAAGAATTCCTTTATTCGTCCCACAGTGGGGAAATTTCGATGTTGCATCGCACAGACAGGACAGTAGTAAGAGCACACAGGGATCACACACAATATATACACTATATACAAATAAGAAGTAGCTATGTTTCTTAACTAACATAACTAGCTGTAGATGCTGAAAAAGCTTCAATACCAGTCAAAAGATATATGTAGTAGTGCAGTTATATACTGTACAGTTAAATAGTGCAGGATAAAAAGTATATAAGTAAAGTGACATGAGGTAAAAGTAGTAAGTAATCTTTATTTCACCGCCTTTTCACTGCAGGTCAGAGTCTCAAAGCGGTTTACGATTGTTATTTTTTTGGGAATTTGTCCCCTGGGAGCGGGCTCGCCAGAGCTATTGTACATGTTTTTAGTGGTAGGGGAAACCGGAGTACCCGGAGGAAACCTACGCAGACATGGGGAGAACATGCAAACTCCACTCAGAAAGGCCCTGGTCCAACCGGGATTCGAACCCAGGACCTTCTTGCTGAGAGGCGAGAGTGCTATCCACTCAGCTGGTAATAAAAGCTCTTGCACGTGTACTTTAGTCAGAGTAATTTTATTTTGAAACTAAAACAAAGCAAATCTTATGGAGAACATAAGTTAAGGGGGTATTCAGAACTTTACATTAGCTACAAGGAAGAGGTTTGGTGTTTGGGTCTGTGCCGTTAAACTGTGGAAACATCTTTTAGACAAATTCAAACGATGTCAGAATATCTTGAAAAGTCGCACAGATTCTTTGAAGTTTAGTTCAGTTTTTAAATATCTAGAACTGGAAGTTGTGGTAATGGTATTATGCAGTAGGGTTGGGGTTGAAATAGGTTCTATAGAGAGATTTACCCAAGGAGAGCTTTGTCTCCAACAGTCTACTCCTAAAATCTCTTACAGAAGATCTTTGTATGTTTGATGGTTTCTTTTTGTTTTCTTGTTTGTCTTTGACCAAAGATCAAAGGGTTCAATTTCCAAAAGTAACTAAAGTGGATGTAGATCACTGGCCAAGTCTGCTACAAGTTTATAGCACCGATATTGCCTAGACATGATCTCCTCTTTAAAAAACATTTAAAAACAGTTTTTTAAAATCTTAAAATATACTTTTGGTTTTGTTTTGTTCTATAAATCCACCTCAGATCTTTCATTTTGCCGATCTCGGGCAGAGACAGTCGATTTGGTCTCAAGCTGTTGTATCCTGAACAGAACTTTGGCGACATCTAGAGGCGATGTTGAGAACTGCAGCCTACAGTCTATGGGATATGCTGACATTTTATCCTAGGAACGTATTTTTCCAAATTTGTGCATTGCAATATTACCACTTTAGTGTAGTGTTTACAGTACTCTGTATTCCACTTTAAAAATGATCCATACCGTGGCCTTCCTCTCGGTCTACTACCACCGATGCAACTATTTATCACTCTCTCCATCGTCTCTCTTCATCCATTCTCTGCATGTGTCCATACGATCTCAGCACACACGTATCTGCTCTACCAGCCCGGTCATCTAACACCTGTTCTCTCCCTAACCGTTAAATTCCTCATTCTATCCATCTTAGTCACTATTTCTCAATCATTTCCTTTTAAACACATTACATTTTTTGCTTTCACATTCTCTAATAAAATCATAAATAATACTGTGTTTCTTCACCCACCTCGACGCTTCTCAGTTTCAGCCAAACACACGGACAGCATCCAAAGTCTTGGCGTCATCAGAGACTTTAATCCACAAAGAGCAGAGGCGGCCCGCCAGAGAGAGAAGCAAGGCATTGTGGGGAATTTGGGCACTGTGAGATCAGCCTGCTGCAGATCCATCTGTGCATCTGAGGTGGAACAAAGTGGGTCAAACACTTATCCTGCACGTCAGTCTCTATTAGCACCAAACAAATAAGTCCATCTTTACAGGACACATGTGCTTGAGAAATGACTTTTTATGAGTTCCATCAGCAAACCTCATTTTAAAACGGTCGGTGCGAAAATCTGGTTTGAACTTTGTTGCTGTAGGGTTTAATTGCATGTAATTAATTATTGAAATAGTAGTCAACTATTTTGATAGTGGAATAAATAAAAACTTTGAGCTGTAATTTTATATTAGTTAACAATTCTGTAATATATCATCTCTATGAAGCTGTTCTCAAGGGGTATCACTTCTACGTTTTGGTCAAAGGTAAATACAAATTCACAGACTTTTCACAACTCAATCAAAACAACTAAACAATAAACAGAAAGAAGAATTGCCCGATTATACAAATACAAAAATAGGCCTTACTTATAATGAGAGATCAGATTATTAAAGTTACATCTGTGCTGGTAACTCTAACTTATATATTTTGTGATAAATACTTACAAACAGACCGTTGCTTCTGTTCAGAGGCGCTGGTTTCGTGCGTCTGTGTGTCTCCGTCTGGGACAGCAGGGTCAGGACGCTCTCCCACACTGGACTCTGGTCTCTGGACGAAGCCGAGAGAGCCATGTCCACCTCCTCTCCTCCACTCACAGCTCTGTAGACCAGCACTGAAGCTCGCACCTGGAACAGACCCTTCTTCAGCTCATCCACGGGCTGCAGGCTCCGGATGGACTGACGCACCCGGACGAGACCTGGAGAGAAGATATACGAGCATTTTGGAAGGTAATTCTAATACAGCCGCAACATGCACTCCAGGACATTGGGAAGTTGGTCATATAAGTAAGTAAGAGAATCTACTCTACAATTGTTGTAACATTGTAATCTAATACCAGTGGAATAGAATAGAACTTTATCCGTCTGTTCCAAGAAAAAACAGAAATTTGTCTTGACATTTTAATGTGTGTGTTTAAACCTAAATTGTTAAGCCGGGTCACTTCAGGAGCTCAAAGAGTTGATCGCGTGACTCCAGACATCTTCAAACCAAAAGTATAAAGTATAGAGTTATCTTGTGCTGTATGATTAAATAGCTTGAGTTTCTTGTTCTTGATACAAAATAATGATGATGATAACATTATATTAACCTGCAGGGCTGAGCTTGAAGTCCTGGTCCGTCAGCAGATAAATCACTGATATGATTGTGTTTAGATCCCATTTTGTTATTATCACAAACAGTGGTAAAAACACTACAGACAAAGTTGTATATAATATATTTTTATGCATTTATTGTTCATTCCTTAAACTCTTTCCAGTTGTGTAAATAGATGTGTTTGGACGAAAGGATTTGTGTGTTTTCAGCTGTTTGGTTCTTTTAATTTGCTTTTGGACTTATTTCCATTTAAATAAATAATAACTAATCAATAATGTGTTTTATACGTTTCAACATGTTCCATGATCTGTGAGTGCTCTTGTTTCTCTGTAAATTAACTTTTTCACTGGTTTAACTGGATCAGAGCCTGAATAACTTCTGCAATCAGTGAGTCCAAAGTTACACGTTGCACAGAAGTATTTATTTGTACAGAATATTTGATTACATTATCCTTGATTATTGTCTATATGAAAAAAGACAAGTTTGTTTTATAGATTCTTGCAGACCCATCTATAATTTATTAGTGGGTCTTGTAATCATCTCTGTGAATGTGTGAAAGACAATAATCAAAGTGAAATCTAGTTTAGAATCACAGCATTAAGAAAATTCATTTGGAGAAAAACAGCAAAAGATAATGTTAGAAATGTCCAAAATAGAATGAAACTCTCACTCAAATCCAAGCAGCAAATACATAAATGTCTTCACCTGTTACAACAGTAGTGCTACCCCACTGTTAGTCAGTGCTTCTCAATCTGCGGTTCTCAAACAGACGAAGACATTGATCATTATTTAAATACTAGCATTTCTTATTCCATTAAATGTGGATTTGTATTTTGAGTCATTGCAGAGATAAAACACTATGGCAAGTTCATTCTTCAACTTATTGTTAATGTATTTTTCAATAATTTTCTGTTTTTAATTTTGGTGATTTACATTGATATTAATTTAGTTCTAACCAGTTGCGTAGGCCTGCTGTAGGGAGTCCTTATATTCTGACTATGGGGTCAGAGAGCCTGAGATTTGTGCCTGTAATTTTGACCCACGATGACAAATGTAGCCCACTTCAAGGTATGTACACGTTGGATCTAGGTTCGTAGGAGCTGAGAATAGCAATAAACACAGCACACAATTAGTTAAGTTAAATGTGACTTTTAGTTCAGAAAATGAAAATAGTGCACACACATTTATAAACAAAACCTATTGGCCCAACTAAGAAAATTAAAATGTCTTTGTGAAAAAATGTTCTTTCCGGAACTTGTGTTCAATGTTCAGTCAATATAGTCAGGGGAAATAGTCAAGTCAGGGAGTGTAGATACTCGTGGAGTAGTGAAGACTCTTGTTGTCCGTCAGTGAGACTGACACAATCTTACCACAGCATCTGCAGGAACGATGGTAGGACTCAGAATTCGACTGGGAGGCTCGCCATCGATGATTCTCTCCCTCAATCTCGTTGTACTCCAAGGCTGGGATTTCTCAGTATCACGGCCTCACAAAAAGACATGACCTGTATTTACAAACAGGTTTGAACATTTTCTTGTTATGCAATTGCAATTAAAAAGTAAAGTGCTGTTGAAAAATAAAAATGCAGTTACAGATGGATAACTTAGTTACATGTAATCAAAAGTATCATTGAGTCAAAATATAACATTTTAACAAATCTGGAAATCTCATTAAACTATAATATCTTTATTTATTTGGAGGATAATCCCCTTGAGATTAATTATCTCGTTTTCAAGGGGTTCCTCAAGTTCACATTTTACCAATGGATTTACTTATTTGTGGAAAATGCACTGACTTGGGTAGTGTATAGACCATGAATCATATTGTATCGCTGCAAACCTATTTAACATAGGATTAATTATACTAACAAATAAAATACATGAAATACATCTTTTTAATATAACAGCTTGTGTCCATTTTGAAATGACTTAAAATGCATTTGGCTCAAGTTAGAACTAAACATGGGGAGGCTGCTTTTCAGATTCATGCTGCTAAAATCTGGAACAATCTTCCTGAAGATGTGAGACAGGCCTCCTCTCTGACAATGTTTAAAACCAGGTTAAAGACAGTTCTGTTTAGCTGTGCTACAACTGAGGGATTTTATATTTTTATCTTTCTTTTTAATGTTCTGTGATTTATGATTTTAATGCTTTCTTGTTTTGTTCAGCACTTTGAGTTGCCTTGTGTATGAATTGTGCTATACAAATAAACTTGCCTTGCCTCATAAAATAGCTTATTTATCTGACCCACAGTGAGTGTGATTAGTTTTACAGTGAAATCCATATTGTACTTATTTCAATAACACAGTGTGTAATACCATGAATTTACAATTAAAGTAACTGAAATGTTTCTTATGACTTAAACGTAAAATGTGCAAAATAACAAAAGAAATACGCCAGCATGACCACAAGAGGGCGCCTGTGCATATACAAGTCTATGGGAACAGGTGGATGCTAGCTTACCAAGTTTCACTTCAGAAGACTCGGGACAAATAAAAGTGCTTCCTCAACGGTTCTCCAACCTCTAAACGGAAGTTATAACCACATTAGAACATTTACTAAATGATTTATACTCTTCAATACTTTCTGATTCGATTGTCATTCATAACGATGTTGTTTTCAACCAACACGTGAGAGGGGAGTGGCAGTGAATCGACTGAGCGCCATAAAGCTAACTGTGGTTTCGCCTACTGCTTCCGGTTTCACGACAAAAAGACATCTGGTTTTCAAAATAAAATGTAAAAAAACTGTTATAATAAACCCGTTTAACCAGGTGGGTTACACAAACATTAGAATTCAATGTTTTCGCAGTATTTTGGGATTCATTCATTGACACAAATCTAAACTTATTTCATCTTTTGCACGTTGCAGTAGAACTTCTCCACAGCGGAAATGCTGCCGTAGACTCGTTGCTTTTGTGGTTGTTTGGATCTTGTGGTGTTTCTACCTCACGCTGTAGAGATCACCAATGCTACTGAAGGAATGTTCTGTGTGTTCTGTGTCCTCCCGAACTCCACGCTCATTTTAAGCCTTTTTTGTTTTCAACTCTTTATTTTATACAACATGGTGATGAAAATGATTGTCTTTTTATGTTGCTTTTTCATTTGCATACAGGAAATACAAATTGTACATAGAAAAGATTTATAAAAGCACTTTTAATCTTGAGTTTAATGAAAAATGAAAGAGCCGATATTTGACAACTTTTTATTTATTTATTTATTTGTTTATTTGAGCAGACAAGTACTGCTCAAAAGGAGTGGGCCGAAGCAATAGCTTATTGGTGCCCACCCCCAAAACACTACATTAACAGAAACACATTTAAACATTTTACCTAGAACAGCAACTATGTAAAATGTATAAAAAAAACAAGAAAAGAACAGACAATAACAGCAGCACTAACGGCAAATTAAGGCGACTGTTTAGAGCAACATCACTCTTCAAGGTCAACAATGTAAATATAAAAGTAAATAACAAAAAATAAATAAAAAAAAAAACAGACAAATTAAGTTTAGCCCGATTGCGCCCCCTAGTGACGTATAACTTCCTCCTCTTTGTACTTGTTGAAAGCTAGTCTTTTGTTTGACTGTAGGGCTAAAACTTTTCAGAGTTGAGCTGTGCTTCTGTACCATAAAGTTTAGTTCATCTCGTATTTTGTAAAGACTAGTTCGCTCTGTTCGCTGTATTTGTGTTGGTAAATGTTTATATCTTGCTTTATATATCAACTGTACAGTCTGGAACTCAACAACATCATAAAACTTCACAATCTTTGAATTTATAAATAATGGGTTTGTATGATTCGAAATCCCACTTTGTTAATTATTCGAATGGCTCTTTTTTGCAGCATCACAAATGGTTTTACTGTGTTTTTGTAAGTGTTTCCCCAAATCGCAGAGCAGTAATTCAGATATGGCAGAATCAGAGAACAGTATAAAGTGTGAAGAGCTTTGAAATTTAAGATGTAATTTGCTTTTGCTATTACTGAGATACTTTTTGATATTTTAGTGGATATGTATAGAACTTGAAGCCTAGTTTTTGTTTTTGTTGTTTCTGTTATAATTTTCCTGGTGAGAGAGATACAAATGTAAATACTCAAATATTTAGGTAAGATTATTTAACTGGTGATGATAGTAACTAAACCATGAATGACTAGGGGGTATTGGCAGCCGTGACCACACTTGGTACTTGATCATTCACTGATGTTCTGTTTTATATCGCACCCTGTCAGCATGACTTTTCACCCCTCACTGTCCCAAAACTAACTTTGTCCCAAAACTAACTTTGTCCCAAAACTAACTTTGTCCCACTCGTCTTCAACTAAAGCTCATCTATTATACTTCCAACTTGATGATGGAGCTTTTGGACCATTGATTAAACATGTCATTACAAAACAAACACAGAATCACTTCACATTGACATAATATTGGGCACAATATTCATTTCTTGTTTTGGTAGAAGTCGGTCTCCTACAGTTACAGTCAGTCAATCTGACTATAATGACCAGTGATTATTAAAGCTGGAGTACCTGTGGTTTGAAAGTTAGGTACCCCAGCTTTAAATAAAACCAATACCATGTGATACTGTCCCACATAGCAGCAAGTTTGTGTTAGAAATGAGAAATACTACTTAAAATCATCGACCAGCATAATAGATCCCCTTCACTCATTATGAATTTGTAAACACATTTTCTGCTATTAATTGTAAACTTGTTCTAGACTTTTCTGTGGCACATTCAGACAACGTGAATCTTGTTTTAATGTGTCTATAGCAGATTCATAATCACCCATCAAATTCTGTTTTTACCTACAATGCATCAGTTTACATGACAAACACAGTCATGGGTGCTAACATTACTGAGGAGGACATCTCTTTGTCACACGCTCTTATGTAAAGGGCTCTGGTGCTACATGACGCTACTTTTCAAAACCCACTGTGTATATTTGAAAAAGTAAAGGATTAAAACGTTCCACAAATATTTTTCTGAGCACTGAGAATGTCAAAATGATACTATTTGTCCTGCTGTCTATATACGAGGCAAGGCCATGGTGCTACATTTGTAAAGCTATTTCTTACACAACGCTACAAATCATCTTGTGTTTGCATATAGGGGATATCAATAGAAACTGTACTTGAAGACATTTTAACTAGGAAATGACATATATAAAGACTGTTAAGTTGTGGAAGGCTCTAGAACCCTCCTTGTTCTGTTGTAATTGTCCAACTCTCCAACATCACATCAATGGTAAACTGCCTCCCCTATCGTTTCCATAGATATGCACTTGTACATTTGCCTTTTTCACTCACGTACGCTGATTATTTTTGCATCTTAGAAATCTTGAAACTCTAAATCTGACTTGAGGCCCATAAAAAGTGGTGAACGTAAACAACAGGCAGCTACATTTGTTTTTGAGTTTTAGGATTTGTTTTTCATGTCAAGGATGCAGTATGTAAAAAAAAAAGTGCTTCTGTTCAGTCTCTCTCTTTGTAGCTGTATGGTGTAACATGTGAATACATAGTGTATGTGGTGAAAAGCCCACAATATTGTTTTATGTTGCCAGATAAAAAAAAATGTTGAAGTGAAAACACCTCTTGTGACTCTCTGGTTTTGTCCTGTAAGTGCAGTTACACTGACTGTCCAGAAGGGGGAACTATTCACCCAGGCGTCTTCCCTTTTTCCCCTTTTCAGGTATACATGAAGATGTGACAGGCCTCCTCTCTGACAATGTTTAAAACCAGGTTAAAAACGGTGCTGTTTAGCTGTGCTACAACTGAGGGATTTTATATTTTTATCTTTCGTTTTAATGTTCTGTAATTATTTATGATTTTAATGCTTTCTTGTTTTGTTCAGCACTTTGAGTTGCCTTGTGTATGAATTGTGCTATACAAATAAACTTGCCTTGCCTTGCCTTGCCTATACATGTATTCTTATAAGTTAAAATCATCTGTGTGTGTTTAGTAATAGCTGAATTTATCTAAAACAAATGAAGTTTGTGCACTGCAGAGAGTCGGACTTAATATGCTACATTTTTGCACAGTTTTTTTATTTTTGAATCTCAACACGAGACTCGACTTCTGACTTAAGACTTAATGTTTTGGTTTTATATAGTCATTGAATTTACTTAATTTTGACCATTCAAAGACACTATTCACTCTCCTTACACACGAGGGTGCAATTAGTCTGTCACTGAAGCTGCTCTCCAGAGCAGAGAGAGTGTCCTGCAGGGGGCGACAGTCATGGTCCAGCATAGATGTTAGTTTGCTCAGGACCCTCCTGTCCCCCACCTGCTGCACTGTGTCCAGGGAACAGCCCAGGACTGAGCTGGACTTCCTGATGTTCCAGCTTCTTCCTGTCCCTCTCTGTGATGCTGCTGTTCCAGCAGACCACACCGTACAAGAGGCTGATGCCACCACAGAGTCATAGAAGGTCTTCAGGAGTGGCCCCTGCACTCCAAAAGACCTAAGTCTCCTCAGTAGGTAGAGGCGGCTCTGGCCCTTCTTGAAGAGAGCGTCTGTGTTATGAGTCCAGTCCAGTTTGTGGTTCAGATGAACACCCAGGTACTTGTAAGAGTCCACTCTCTCGATGTCCTTTCCCTGGATGTTCACTAGAGCTGGAGCAGCAGAGTGACGTCTGCGGAAATCCACCACCATCTCCTTGGTCTTCCCCGCGTTGATGAGGAGGTGGTTCCGCTGACACCAGTTCACAAAGTCCTGTATAACTCCTCTGTACTCTGCGTCATCGTCCTCGGAGCTGAGTCCGATGATGGCAGAAGCAAGTGAATAAATAAACTGAAGACTTGCTCCAATATCAAACACTTTTATTGTTTATTAGGATGACACAGCGACCCGGCAATGGATAAAGTGGAAGAAAATGGACGGATGGACTCAGGACTCATACAGAGTGTAACCTGTGGGTGGTACGTAGGTGACATAAACTACAGTTTGACTCGAACTCATCTGACTTTTGTTGTGACGCTCCAAAGTGAAAGAGCTTCAGGACGAATAACAGAGAAACGCTGACGACACACGCTCTTTACAGATCCATTTCAGCTCCAGCAACGAGAACAAGTGCAGTGTCATCATAAATGTTTATATTCATTCATCTTCACATCATATTCTCTACTGCAGGGTCTCATGGGCTCCTTTATCTACATTTTCATAAGGGACATATTTTCTGAGGGGCCATGGTTGTGCACTGAGCCGTATATACTTTCACACATAAATGTAATTTTGGTGTTTCATATTAAACTCTAACACAGGGACCAGACCCAGACGTTACAGGCAGTGATGATGATTGAGCGGAGAGTACGGATGGATACAGTAAGACCAGGGTACTTCAGACCTGGACTAGACCTGGACTAGACTGTTCTTGGCTCTGCGTTCAGGAGGCTCTGCTCTGACAGTCCCCTGTGGAGCCGCTCTGTGGGGGTCCAAGGGACAGATGACAGTGTTGCATAAGTGAAAGACGGTTCCAGGACAGTTCTGAAAGTACAGGTTACATCATCACATCAGGGCTGAGGCTGTAGACCCAGGACTGAGGCTGTAGACCCAGGACTGAGGCTGTAGACCCAGGACTGAGGCTGTAGACCCAGGACTGAGGCCGTAGACCCAGGACTGAGGCTGTAGACCCAGGACTGAGGCTGTAGATCCAGGACTGAGGCCGTAGACCCAGGACTGAGGCTGTAGACCCAGGACTGAGGCTGTAGATCCAGGACTGAGGCCGTAGACCCAGGACTGAGGCTGTAGACCCAGGACTGAGGCTGTAGATCCAGGACCGAGGCTGTAGACCCAGGACTGACCTGTAGACCCCGGTTCAAAATCAAACAAGAGTAAACCGAATTAGTCATGGTCCTGGTCCTGGTCCAGGTCTCATAGTGATATGGTTTCCGCAGATGCTGGTCTCCTGCTGTGAATCTGAAATGTGCTTCTGAGATTCTAAATCAAAGAACGAAACAGAACGTACGAGCCAGAAACCCCCCAAAGGGAACCCCCGAGAGAGGAGGACTCCCTCTCTCTGGTCTCTCTCTGGTCTCTCTCTGTTCTCTCACTGGTCTCTCTCTGGTCTCTCTCTGGTCTCTCTCTGGTCTCTCTCCGGTCTCTCTCTCTGGTCTCTCTCTGGTCTCTCTCTCTGGTCTCTCTCTCTGGTCTCTCTCTGGTCTCTCTCTGGTCTCTCTCTGGTCTCTCTCTGTTCTCTCTCTGGTCTCTCTCTGGTCTCTCTCTGGTCTCTCTCTGGTCTCTCTCCGGTCTCTCTCTCTGGTCTCTCTCTGGTCTCTCTCTCTGGTCTCTCTCTGGTCACTCTCTGGTCTCCCTCTGGTTGTTTGTTCCAATCCAAGTCCTGAATCCAAGTGAAAAGGTAAACTAATGTTCTCTGAAACTGCTGCTCATAAACACTTGCATCTGACCCGAGAAAGAACTGTTTTGTAAAGAAGAATGGGCACAACTGTCAGTCCCTAGACATAGAGTCTTTCACATTTTGCTGTCGAGTTTATGTGACAGACCTGATCTATGACAATACCTCCTGCTGCGAGACCTGCTTTAGACCTGCTTTAGACCTGCTTTAGACCTGCTTTAGTCCTGCTTTAGACCTGCTTTAGACCTGCTTTAGACCTGCTTTAGTCCTGCTTTAGTCCTGTTTTAGACCTGCTTTAGTCCTGCTTTAGACCTGCTTTAGACCTGCTTTAATCCTGCTTTAGTCCTGCTTTAGTCCTGCTTTAGACCTGCTTTAGTCCTGCTTTAGTCCTGCTTTAGACCTGCTTTAGACCAGCTTTAGTCCTGCTTTAGACCTGCTTTAGTCCTGCTTTAGACCTGCTTTAGTCCTGCTTTAGATCTGCTTTAGTCCTGCTTTAGTCCTGCTTTAGTCCTGCTTTAGACCTGCTTTAGTCCTGCTTTAGACCTGCTTTAGTCCTGCTTTAGACCTGCTTTAGTCCTGCTTTAGACCTGCTTTAGACCTGCTTTAGACCTGCTTTAGTCCTGCTTTAGACCTGCTTTAGACCTGCTTTAGACCAGCTTTAGACCTGCTTTAGACCTGCTTTAGACCTGCTTTAGTCCTGCTTTAGACCCGCTTTAGTCCTGCTTTAGACCTGCTTTAGTCCTGCTTTAGACCTGCTTTAGACCAGCTTTAGACCTGCTTTAGACCTGCTTTAGACCTGCTTTAGACCTGCTTTAGTCCTGCTTTAGACCTGCTTTAGTCCTGCTTTAGTCCTGCTTTAGACCTGCTTTAGACCTGCTTTAGACCTGCTTTAGTCCTGCTTTAGACCTGCTTTAGACCTGCTTTAGTCCTGCTTTAGTCCTGCTTTAGACCTGCTTTAGTCCTGCTTTAGACCTGCTTTAGTCCTGCTTTAGACCTGCTTTAGACCTGCTTTAGACCTGCTTTAGTCCTGCTTTAGACCTGCTTTAGTCCTGCTTTAGTCCTGCTTTAGACCTGCTTTAGACCTGCTTTAGACCTGCTTTAGTCCTGCTTTAGACCTGCTTTAGATGTGCTTTAGTCCTGCTTTAGTCCTGCTTTAGACCTGCTTTAGACCTGCTTTAGACCTGCTTTAGTCCTGCTTTAGACCTGCTTTAGACCTGCTTTAGTCCTGTTTTAGACCTGCTTTAGTCCTGCTTTAAACCTGCTTTCGACCAGAGAAAGACCGGAGAGATCAATGAGAGAGACCAAAGAGAGAGATCAATGAGAGAGACCAAAGAGAGAGATCAATGAGAGAGACCAAAGAGAGAGACCATGTTATTCAAATGGCCGCCCATCTGAATAATGTTGTTGATTTCTCTGGCAGCGGTCGCACCGTCGGCCCCTGAGCCCCCATCGCTCTGAGACTTATTTTGGGAGAGATCAGGTGTCCATTAGAGTCTCATAAATCAGACAGAGAAGCCAGAGCAGCGGCGAGAGCTTAGGGCGGACACGGTGCTCCACGGGCTCAGAATACTACTGTTCTGTGAAGACACGTGTTTCAGCAAAAGTTCAGAAAATGTGTTTTTTTCTTTTAAAAACTCTTTCCAATTTTATTCCTCATCAAAGAAAAAAGAACGTCACTCAAACCACAACAGATGTACTCTCCTCGTTCTACTCCAGAGAGAGACCAGAGTGAAACCAGAGAGAGACCAGAGAGAGACCGGAGAGAGACCAGAGAGAAACCAGAGAGAGACCGGAGAGAGACCAGAGAGAGACCAGAGAGAGACCAGAGAGAGACCAGAGAGAGACCAGAGAGAGACCAGAGAGGGACCAGAGAGGGATGAGAGAGAGATCAGAGAAAGACTGAAGAGAAATGAGCAAGAGAGAGAGAAACCAAAGGAAGACTAAAGAGAGATCAGAGAGTGACCAGAGGAAGACCCAGAGAGACTAAAGAGAGACCAGAGAGAGACCAGAGAGTGACCAGAGGAAGACCCAGAGAGAGACCAGAGAGTGTGGAAATATGCAGCCCTGGATAGAGCCGTTCGGGGGGAGGGTCTTGCTCAAGGGCTGTCAGCTTTGGTCTCGACAACTTGTCATGATGTCAAAGTGTGTAATGTGCCTGAAGCAGCAGCACAACTCCAGTGACACACACTCTCTCTGGACCCTCTAGACCCACTGGACTCTCTCTGGACCCTCTGGACTCTCTCTGGACCCTTTGGACTACGAGACCAGCGCCTAAACCCAGACCCGACATGTGCAGACGCTGAGGACCGGCTCTGCGATGCTTCTGGAAACTAAAGTGGATGGAGAACCGAGCGGAGACGCCGTGACCCGCAAACCGTCCAGCGACATGGACTCCTGTGCTGTTTACGACTGCAGCAGAGACGACCAGCTCTGCAACAATGGACTCTTGACCTCGGAGTCTCGCGCCGCAGAGAGGTTAAGCCAAGGATTTCACCAATGCGAGTGTTTGGAAGCGCGTGATCCCGGTGCTAATCTCGGCGTAGCTTCTGGTCCGGGACAAGACCTCGACGAATGCAAGAGATGTAAGCCAGAAGATCCGCTGTTGTCTTCCCAAACGCAGACGGATCTCTCCACGCAGCGAGAGAAGCAGGAGTTTGGAGAGAAAGGATTTGGAGAGACTGGTTCTGAAGAGTTAGACGAGACAAACCAGTTCCTTTTGAACCAAGAACCCGGTTTGGAAGTGGACTTGTCTGACAGCTTTGAGGACTTGAGTCAGAGCGAGGCAGGTTCAGAGGAGGTAGAGGAGGACGAAGTCAGCAATCACAGCTTTTACGAAGAGGACGGTTGCAGCGACGTGAACGACAGCGGACTTCCCGAGGAGTTCGAGAACTTTGACGACATTTCGCAAGACAGCTGCGAAGGCATAGAACAGATACCGGCTGTAGGCGCAGACGAGGATCTATCCAGGAGCTGTTACGAAGTGGTTGAACTTGAGACTGACGCTTGTGACGAAGAGTTGCCTGATGATTTAGAGCAAGACAACGAAGATAAAGACGACAAAGATCTATCCCTGGACAGTTCTGAGGTGGTGGAACTTGAGAATAAAAAATGTAGTTACGAGTTTCAAGGTTATTTGCGTGGCGGAGATTTGGAGCGAGACACAAGTGAAGGTTTGGAAACGACTTTTGAACACGTTTCGAACCTCGACGAATCCACAGCAGACGTCGCGGAAGATTTGGCAGAAGACGGCGGTAACTTTGATCTGAGCGAGTTTTCCGAAATGCCAGAAGTAGCAGAAGAAAGCGAAATCTCACCGCAGGCAAACGCCGTCAACGTTATATTCTGTAGAGAAGACGATTCGTCCGATTGCTCTTTCAAGACTTGTCCAGAAGGCAGCGTTGCGTCCGCTCCCAGCTCCAGTTCCTCCGGAGTCTCCGACAAAAGCGGAGAAGGCGACTCCAGCGACGAGCAGACGCAGTGGGAGTCTTTCGAAGAAGAAGAGGAGGAGGAGGAGGAGGAGGAGGAGGAAGTGGCCGAAATAACAGAGAAGACAAAACCTGCGCCGGACTTTGTGGTCGAGGATTACTTTAGTTTTTTCGACAGCGATGATTTATACGGGTTCTCACAAAAACAGAGCTACATCTCGTGTTTCGAGGGCGGAGACGTCAGCGAGCACCTGAACTACGAGCAGCGCCAGGCCGAGAAGCAGAACCTGAGGAACAAAGGACGAGGTTTGGAGGAAGAGCTGACAATAGAGCAGCAGGAGGAGGAGGAGCAGGAGGAGGAGGAGCAGGAGGAGATAGAGGAGATAGAGGAGGCAGGTGAGGATCTGGGAGAGGGAGAAGAGGAGGAGCTAGAGGAGGAGGTTCTTGAAGCGGGTTATGAGGACAATATTGACGACAAAGCTTCTCCAAATGAAGCAGTTTACCAAGAAGAGGAGGAGGAGGAGGAGGAGGAGGAGGAGGAGGAGGAGGAAGCCTTTGTGGACAATAATGCTGATATAACTGAGCAAGAAACGACCAATTTCCACCAAGAACGGATAAAAAACTCTCAAAACAAACACCAAGAACTGATGGACAACTCTCCGGGTGCAGACAGTTCTGACCCGTTGGACCTGGATCGCGACTCGGACCTCGGGTTTCCTCCGTGGGTCGAGGACATTTCCGTGGAGGGCGACGCGTACTGCGACTCCTCAGACGTGAGCGACTTGTCGGAGGACCTGGAGGACGGTTTCTGCGTGAGCGAAGACGTGGCGTTGTTGGCGTGCTCCGAAGCCGAACCCTACTGCTCACGCTTTCACCTCCACCCCGCGGACCAGGAGGAGGAGGAGGACCGGGAGGAGGAGGAAGACCGGGAGGAGGAGGAGGACCGGAAGGAGGAGGAGGACCGGGCGGAGGAAGTCCTGGAGGTGGAGGAGTATTATGTGTTGGAGATGAGGAGTCTTCAGACGTCCTCGCTACAAGCTCTACGAGACTTTCTGCTCGATGTAGAACTGAAGATGGACATTCGAGGCGCGTTTTGGGACGAATCGGAGGGACTGGGAGAGGCAGAGTTAGCCGAGGCAGAGCTAGCCGAGCGGGGTTCCCAGGGTGCACTGCAGGGGGCGGCAGAGGGAGCTCCAGTCGGGTTGATCCACAGCGTTCCGGAGAGTGTGAAGAAGACGGAGGCAGACGGCGACTCGGAGGATGAAGGCAGCGACTCGGAGACGGAGGAGTGTGAGTGCGAGTACTGCGTCCCGCCCACAGACCAGGTGGGTGTGTGTGAGGTCATATGGTACTGTAGTAATAATACTGATACAATAATCAAATACTAATCAGTTCAGGGGCCACAAAACATACTCCATTATATACAACCAGTAGTACAACATGACAGTTACATTCAAAGTCTCTCTGGTCTCTCTCCCTGGTCTATATCTGGTCTCTCTCTGGTCTCTCTCTGGTCTCTCTCTGGTCTCGCTCTGGTTTCTCTCTGGTCTCTCTCTCTGGTCTCTCTCTGCTCTCTCTCTGGTCTCTCTCTGGTCTCTCTCTGGTCTCTCTCTGGTTTCTCTCTGACCTCTCTCTCTGGTCTCTCTCTGGTCTCTCTCTTGTGTCTGTCTGGTCTCTCTCTGGTCTCCCTCTGACCTCTCTCTCTGGTCTCTCTCTGGTCTCTGTCTGGTCTCTCTCTGGTCTCCCTCTGACCTCTCTCTCTGGTCTCTCTCTGGTTTCTGTCTGGTCTCTCTCTGGTCTCTCTCTGGTCTCTCTCTGGTCTCTCTCTGGTCTCTCTCTGGTCTCTCTCTGGTCTCTGTCTGGTCTCTCTCTGGTCTCTCTCTGGTCTCTCTCTCTGGTCTCTCTCTGGTCTCTCTCTCTGGTCTCTCTCTGGTCTCTCTCTCTGGTCTCTCTCTGGTCTCTCTCTCTGGTCTCTCTCTCTGGTCTCTCTCTCTGGTCTCTCTCTGGTCTCTCTCTGGTCTCTCTCTGGTCTCTCTCTGGTCTCTATCTGGTCTCTATCTGGTCTCTCTCTGGTTTCTGTCCTGCCTGTCTGCACAAGTCTCGCTCTCTGTTAATCAACATATTACAGCGGCTAGAATTCAGAAATACTAAACCAGGACTGGACCAAACTTCAGCCAGATCCAAATCTAGATCCTGGCGCTAAACTGGGACCAGACCTGAGGCCAGAGAGTGACCGGAGCTAATGAGACAAAATGTTTCCGACCAGACCTTTCATCTCCAACAGAGATTTGGACTTTCCTCAAGAGACGACCAGAGAGAGACCAGACAGAGACACCAGAGAGAGAGACCAGAGAGAGAGACCAGAGAGAGACCAGAAAGAGACACCAGAGAGAGAGACCAGAGAGAGAGACCAGAGAGAGGCCAGGGAGAGAGACCAGAGAGAGAGACCAGAGACAGAGACCAGAGGGCGACCAGAGAGAGAGGTCAGAGGGAGACCAGAGAGAAACCAGAGAGACCCCAGAGAGAGACCAGAGAGTTTTGGTAATTAATATTAATGAGAATAAATATATGTTTATATTGTTAGCTCTAAGCTAACAGCGGTTAGCTCACACTGTTAGCTTCTCTGCAGGAGAATGTGTTCAGGATAATCCTCGATGACTGAAACATCGCTCTGATTCACCACAGCTGCTGTTTGACACCTCACTACAGAGAAGAAACATGATATACACACACACACAGACACACACACACACACACACACAGAGAAGAGACATGATATACACACACACACAGACACACACACACACACACACACAGAGAAGAGACATGATACACACACACACAGACACACACACAGACACACACACACAGACACACACACACAGACACACACACACAGACACACACACAGACAGACACACACACAGACACACACAGAGATAGAGACATGATACACACACACACAGACACACAGAGACAGAGACATGATACACACAAAGACACACACACACACACACACACAGACACACACACAGAGAGACAGAGACATTATACACACACACACAGACAGACACAGACACACACACACACACACAGACACAGAGTAGAGAAGGGTAGGGTAGGATAGAGTAGAGTAGAGTAGAGTAGGATGGAGTAGAGTAGAGTAGAGTAGAGTAGGATGGAGTAGAGTAGAGTAGAGTAGAGTAGAGAAGGGTAGAGTAGGATAGAGTAGAGTAGAGTAGAGTAGGATGGAGTAGAGTAGAGTAGAGTAGAGTAGAGAAGGGTAGAGTAGGATAGAGTAGAGTAGAGTAGAGTAGGATGGAGTAGAGTAGAGTAGAGTAGAGTAGGATGGAGTAGAGTAGAGTAGGGTAGAATAGAAGAAGGGTAGAGTAGGATAGAGTAGAGTAGAGTAGAGTAGATGGAGTAGTAGAGTAGAGTAGAGTAGGATGGAGTAGAGTAGAGTAGAGTAGAGAAGGGTAGAGTAGGATAGAGTAGAGTAGAGTAGAGTAGAATGGAATGGAGTAGGGTAGAGTAGAGTAGAGTAGGGTAGGGTAGAGTAGAGTAGAGTAGAGTAGAGTAGAGTAGGTAGGGTAGGGTAGGGTAGAGTAGAGTAGAGTAGGGTAGGGTAGAGTAGAGTAGAGTAGAGTAGGGTAGGGTAGGGTAGGGTAGAGTAGGGTAGGGTAGGGTAGGGTAGGGTAGAGTAGGGTAGAGTGGAGTGAGTAGAGTAGAGTAGGGTAGAGTAGAGTAGAGTAGAGTAGAGTAGAGTAGAGTAGAGTAGAGTAGAGTAGAGTAGAGATATGAAGTCCTGTGCCAGTCTGTGTCTGAGCAGGCAGTGACCTGTGGCTGTGTTTTCTCTCCTCCAGGCCCCCTGTGAGCCGCTGCTGCCCCAGCCCCACTGCTCTGAGTCTGGGAAGATGTGTGTCGTCATCGACCTGGACGAGACGCTGGTGCACAGCTCCTTCAAGGTCAGCACCAGAGACTTTAGTCCTGCTTTAGACCTGCTTTAGACCTGCTTTAGACCTCCTTTAGACCTGCTTTAGTCCTGCTTTAGTCCTGCTTTAGTCCTGCTTTAGACCTGCTTTAGACCTGCTTTAGACCTGCTTTAGACCTGCTTTAGACCTGCTTTAGACCTGCTTTAGTCCTGCTTTAGACCTGCTTTAGACCTGCTTTAGACCTGCTTTAGACCTGCTTTAGACCTCGTTTAGTCCTGCTTTATTTAGACCTGCTTTAGACCTGCTTTAGACCTGCTTTAGACCTGCTTTAGTCCTGCTTTAGACCTGCTTTAGACCTGCTTTAGACCTGCTTTAGTCCTGCTTTAGTCCTGCTTTAGTCCTGCTTTAGTCCTGCTTTAGTCCTGCTTTAGACCTGCTTTAGTCCTGCTTTAGACCTGCTTTAGACCTCCTTTAGACCTGCTTTAGTCCTGCTTTAGTCCTGCTTTAGTCCTGCTTTAGTCCTGCTTTAGACCTGCTTTAGACCTGCTTTAGACCTGCTTTAGTCCTGCTTTAGACCTGCTTTAGTCCTGCTTTAGACCTGCTTTAGACCTGCTTTAGACCTGCTTAAGGCCTGCTTTAGACCTGCTTTAGACCTGCTTTAGTCCTGCTTTAGACCTGCTTTAGTCCTGCTTTAGTCCTGCTTTAGACCTGCTTTAGTCCTGCTTTAGTCCTGGTTCAGTCCTGCTTTAGTCCTGCTTTAGACCTGCTTTAGTCCTGCTTTAGACCAGGTTTAGTCCTGCTTTAGTCCTGCTTTAGTCCTGCTTTAGTCCTGCTTTAGTCCTGCTTTAGTCCTGCTTTAGACCTGCTTTAGTCCTGCTTTAGTCCTGCTTTAGACCAGGTTTAGTCCTGCTTTAGTCCTGCTTTAGACCTGCTTTAGACCAGGTTTAGTCCTGCTTTAGACCTGCTTTAGACCTGCTTTAGACCTGCTTTAGTCCTGCTTTAGACCTGCTTTAGACCTGCTTTGGTCCTGCTTTAGTCCTGCTTTAGTCCTGCTTTAGAGCTGTCTTAGAGCTGTCTTGAAGCTGCCCTAGAGCTGCTTTAGAGCTGTCTTAGAGCTGTCTTAGAGCTGTCTTGAAGCTGCCTTAGAGCTGCCTTAGAGCTGCTTTAGAGCTGTCTTAGAGCTGTCTTAGAGCTGTCTTAGAGCTGCCTTAGAGCTGCCTTAGAGCTGCTTTAGAGCTGTCTTAGAGTTGTCTTAGAGCTGTCTTAGAGCTGTCTTAGAGCTGCCTTAGAGCTGCTTTAGAGCTGTCTTAGAGCTGTCTTAGAGTTGTCTTAGAGCTGTCTTAGAGCTGCCTTAGAGCTGCTTTAGAGCTGTCTTAGAGCTGCTGTAGAGCTGTCTTAGAGCTGCTTTAGAGCTGTCTTAGAGCTGCTTTAGAGCTGTCTTAGAGCTGCTTTAGAGCTGTCTTAGAGCTGTCTTAGAGCTGCTTTAGAGCTGTCTTAGAGCTGCCTTAGAGCTGCTTTAGAGCTGTCTTAGAGCTGTCTTAGAGCTGCTGTAGAGCTGTCTTAGAGCTGTCTTAGAGCTGCCTTAGAGCTGCCTTAGAGCTGCCTTAGAGCTGCCTTAGAGCTGCCTTAGAGCTGTCTTAGAGCTGTCTTAGAGCTGTCTTAGAGCTGTCTTAGAGCTGCCTTAGAGCTGCCTTAGAGCTGCCTTAGAGCTGCCTTAGAGCTGTCTTAGAGCTGTCTTAGAGCTGCTTTAGAGCTGTCTTAGAGCTGCCTTAGAGCTGCTTTAGAGCTGTCTTAGAGCTGCTGTAGAGCTGTCTTAGAGCTGCCTTAGAGCTGCTTTAGAGCTGCCTTAGAGTTGTCTTAGAGCTGCTGTAGAGCTGTCTTAGAGCTGTCTTAGAGCTGCTTTAGAGCTGCTTTAGAGCTGTCTTAGAGCTGTCTTAGAGCTGCTGTAGAGCTGTCTTAGAGCTGCCTTAGAGCTGTCTTAGAGCTGTCTTGAAGCTGTCTTAGAGCTGTCTTAGAGCTGTCTTAGAGCTGCTTTAGAGCTGCTTTAGAGCTGCCTTAGAGTTGTCTTAGAGCTGCTGTAGAGCTGTCTTAGAGCTGTCTTAGAGCTGCCTTAGAGCTGCTTTAGAGCTGTCTTAGAGCTGTCTTAGAGCTGCTGTAGAGCTGTCTTAGAGCTGCCTTAGAGCTGTCTTAGAGCTGTCTTGAAGCTGTCTTAGAGCTGTCTTAGAGCTGTCTTAGAGCTGCTTTAGAGCTGCTTTAGAGCTGTCTTAGAGTTGCCTTAGAGCTGCCTTAGAGCTGCCTTAGAGCTGTCTTAGAGCTGCCTTAGAGCTGCCTTAGAGCTGTCTTAGAGCTGCCTTAGAGCTGTCTTAGAGCTGCCTTAGAGCTGCCTTAGAGCTGCCTTAGAGCTGTCTGTATCTGCCTAGTGCAGTGTCTGGTTGCAGACTCAGGTTGCAGGGCGTGTGTGTCACATGACTGAGGCTGTTTTTAGCTCCGTCGTCTCTGAATACACACAAACATGAGCAGCTCGAGGTGAGCTCTAAACAGCTCTGAGCTCATCACATAAACATCTGAGAGACACGTCCCCCCGACCCTTCTGTCACACTCACAGCCAAATCCAACTATGTACTGCACTAAACTGAACCAGCAAAGATGCTAACACAGACTGTATACAGATGCTAATGCTAACACAGACTGTATACTGATGCTAATGCTAACACAGACTGTATACTGATGCTAATGCTAACACAGACTGTATACAGATGCTAATGCTAACACAGACTGTATACAGATGCTAATGCTAACACAGACTGTATACAGATGCTAATGCTAACACAGACTGTATACAGATGCTAATGCTAACACAGACTGTATACAGATGCTAATGCTAACACAGACTGTATACTGATGCTAATGCTAACACAGACTGCATACTGATGCTAATGCTAACACAGACTGTATACTGATGCTAATGCTAACACAGACTGTATACAGATGCTAATGCTAACACAGACTGTATACAGATGCTAATGCTAACACAGACTGTATACAGATGCTAATGCTAACACAGACTGTATACAGATGCTAATGCTAACACAGACTGTATACAGATGCTAATGCTAACACAGACTGTATACAGATGCTAATGCTAACACAGACTGTATACTGATGCTAATGCTAACACAGACTGTATACAGATGCTAAAGCTAACACAGACTGTATTCTTGGGTTTCATTAAACTGGCCAGTAGGGGGTAGCCTGGCTCTGCCAGACCCTTGTAGTTCCGCCATGCTCCACCAGAGGCGTTTGGCTGAACCACATGGGTCTGGTATCGAGCCCATAGCGAACGCATTCCCCAGATTATTTTTTTATCGACAGAATCAGAATGGCCGGTGTTAAGTGGGGTTTGCACTGCCTTCTCAAGCTTCTCTCATGCAGCAGCGAGAGGAATCCAAGATGGCGGACGTAAAGTCCGCGAATCTTTTTAAAACAGTAAATACGATTGAATTGAGACACGGAGGTAACTTTTAATGCAATTTGAGGCGAGATGGTTCTATGTTGATGGTTCTATGTTGATGGTTCTATGTTGATGGTTCTATGTGGATGGCTCTATGTTGATGGTTCTATGTTGATGGTTCTATGTTGATGGTTCTATGTTGATGGTTCTATGTTTATATATGTGTGTTTTAAGAGTCAAATGTTCCTGTAAAGTTTGGTTGAAGCACTGGTTCAGTGTTCCTGTTTACACACTATGCAGCAGGGTTGCCAGGTTCGGTGGTTCCCGCATATTTTTTTCCAAGAGACTTGTAGGTATTAAAGTGGTTCTCACCCCCGCTCCTCGGAGCTTACGTCACTCACATTTCCTGTTCAAATCTTCCTCTAAATGGGCGTGGCCTGGAGGACTAAAGGGGGCGTGAACGAGACTGGGCCGTTTATATAGCTCTGGGCGGGGGGCTGCTGACGTCAGGTCTTGCTTCAGACGTCAGGTCTTGCTTCAGACGTCAGGTCTTGCTTCAGACGTCAGGTCTTGCTTCAGACGTCAGGTCTTGCTTCAGACGTCAGGTCTTGCTTCAGACGTCAGGTCTTGCTTCAGACGTCAGGTCTTGCTTCAGACGTCAGGTCTTGCTTCAGACGTCAGGTCATGCTTCTGACGTCAGGTCTTGCTTCAGACGTCAGGTCTTGCTTCAGACGTCAGGTCTTGCTTCAGACGTCAGGTCTTGCTTCAGACGTCAGGTCTTGCTTCAGACGTCAGGTCTTGCTTCAGACGTCGGGTCTTGCTTCAGACGTCGGGTCTTGCTTCAGACGTCAGGTCTTGCTTCAGACGTCAGGTCTTGCTTCAGACGTCAGGTCTTGCTTCAGACGTCAGGTCTTGCTTCAGACGTCAGGTCTTGCTTCTGACGTCAGGTCTTGCTTCAGACGTCAGGTCTTGCTTCAGACGTCAGGTCTTACTTCAGACGTCAGGTCTTGCTTCAGACGTCAGGTCTTGCTTCAGACGTCAGGTCTTACTTCTGACGTCAGGTCTTGCTTCAGACGTCAGGTCTTGCTTCAGACGTCAGGTCTTGCTTCAGACGTCAGGTCTTGCTTCAGACGTCAGGTCTTGCTTCAGACGTCAGGTCTTGCTTCAGACGTCAGGTCTTGCTTCAGACGTCAGGTCTTGCTTCAGACGTCAGGTCTTGCTTCAGACGTCAGGTCTTGCTTCAGACGTCGGGTCTTGCTTCAGACGTCGGGTCTTGCTTCAGACGTCAGGTCTTGCTGCCGCGCCAGTGTTGGCGCCAGATTCAAAATTCAAATGTAGTAATACAGGTCGCCAGCAGATGGCGCCTCACAGACGGTTTTAGGCAGAAAGTTTAACTTTCAACTAATTTGCACCAAAGTGACAAAATTATGACCAGGATATGTAGACAACACTATTGGACACTCATTTAAATCGTTTATCAGCAAAAAAAAGTGGATTTGAGGGTGAGTTGTCCTTTAAATAAACAGAAAGACAATAAACAGAATCATGACAGCCCAAGTTGATTACATTACGTTTTTAGCCAAAAAATCATTCTCGTGGACTTTGGGTTGGAAAATCTTGCTGGGATTTGGCAACCTATGGGAGCCGTGTGCTTCGATGTGATTGGTTGAAAGCAGACTTCATTCAAGATAACGGACACGTGGTCTATCCAATCACATACAAGGATTTTTTTTACAAGGCCCTGCCTTCTGAAATCCAACCACTATGGCTCAGTACCAGACTCATGTGTGAAGTGCAGCGGACTACATGGGTCTGGCAGAGTCTGGCCTGTAGGGGGCGCATGAGTCTGGCCTGTAGGGGGCGCATGAGTCTGGCCTGTAGGGGGCGCATGAGTCCGGCCTGTAGGGGGCGCATGAGCAGAGGTGGGACAGTGTTGCTCCCTCTGAAAACCATGTAAAGTCTGTTTTGGAGTCAGAGGCTCTCCTCCTGTGCGCTGTACGGTTGTTGGAAACATCGGGGACACTCAAATCTGAGGGAGTACAAAAACATATTTCGCAAAAGAGTCTTGATTTTGGGCATTAAAAAAAAAATATAATAATAATAACAGATGAAATGTGTCATTGGGGTGGCCTGCAGGCGGCGCTTATCTGGGAAAACCTCGATCCACCTCCGCCTCATTCCAGTGATGTTTTCAAAGTGTCGTCCTTTATATGAGACACAGTTGGAACATGAACAAACTCTTGACTTTCTATTTGTGCGGTTGCTACAAACGTACACCGCACAAAAAGATGCTTCTTCTTCTACTATATCTCCGTGTATAAACCTCTTCTTCTTCTACTATATCTCCGTGTATAAACCTCTTCTTCTTCTACTATATCTCCGTGTATAAACCTCTTCTTCTTCTACTATATCTCCGTGTATAAACCACTTCTTCTTCTACTATATCTCCGTGTAGAAACCACTTCTTCTTCTACTATATCTCCGTGTATAAACCTCTTCTTCTTCTACTATATCTCCGTGTAGAAACCCGGCAGACTGCAGAGCCAGGGTACGTCACGTCCTGTCCTACGTTTGTTATTCACGCCGCTGTCCTGACGTCATATGAAACCCAAGAATACAGATGGACAATGCTAACATGCTAGCTCAATGAAGCCCATAGGGAAGTGCTCATGGTGCAGTTTGGATCAAACTCTGTGAAACTCCTAAAGAGAGAGACATCAGAGAGACTGGATTGACCAATCAGGTGCTGTCTTTCTGCAGAGTCTCTTTGATGTCTCATAATCTTCCTGTAGAACCTTTGTGTCTCTCTCTTTCTCCGGTCTCTCTCTCTGGTCTCTCTCTCCGGTCTCTCTCTGGTCTCTCTCTGGTCTCTCTCCTGTCTCTCTCCGGTCTCTCTCTCCGGTCTCTCTCTCTGGTCTCTCTCTGGTCTCTCTCTCCGGTCTCTCTCTGGTCTCTCTCTGGTCTCTCTCTGGTCTCTCTCTGGTCTCTCTCTCCGGTCTCTCTCTCCGGTCTCTCTCTCCGGTCTCTCTCTCCGGTCTCTCTCTCTGGTCTCTCTCTCTGGTCTCTCTCTCTGGTCTCTCTCTCTGGTCTCTCTCTCTGGTCTCTCTCTCTGGTCTCTCTCTCTGGTCTCTCTCTGGTCTCTCTCTGGTCTCTCTCTGGTCTCTCTCTCTGGTCTCTCTCTCTGGCCTCTCTCTCTGGTCTCTCTCTGGTCTCTCTCTGGTCTCTCTCTGGTCTCTCTCTCTGGTCTCTCTCTCTGGTCTCTCTCTCTGGTCTCTCTCTCTGGTCTCTCTCTCTGGTCTCTCTCTCTGGTCTCTCTCTCTAGTCTCTCTCTGATGTCCCAGATATTTCCATGTAGACTCTTTGTATTTGTCCCCTGGTCTCGGACTGGTCTTGGACTGGTCTCGGGCTAGTCTCGGGCTAGTCTCGGACTGGTCTCTGTTCATGGTCAGCGTCTCAGGTGTGATTCTTTGTGTTCCGCAGCCCATGAGCAAAGCAGACTTTGTCATTCCAGTGGAGATCGATGGTACCATCCACCAGGTGAGACACCAGCAAACACACAACCTCCACAGACTGGGGACTAAACCTGGACCACACTCTACTCTACTCTGCTCTGGCTCTGAGTCTGGTGTGGGTCTGGTCTAGGTCTGGGTCTGGGTCTGGTCTGGATCTCTGGTCTCTGCGACCGCAGATGTAAATACTGGATCATAAAACAAGCAGGAGGCGTTTTATAGACTCTCAGGTTCAGAGACGAGTCACTGAGACCAGAGAGAGAAACCAGAGAGAGACCAGAGAGAGACCAGAGAGAGACCAGAGAAAGACCAGAGAGAGACCAGAGAGAGACCAGAGAGAGACCAGAGAGAGACCAGAGAGAGACCAGAGAGAGACCAGAGAGAGAGATCAGAGAGAGACCAGAGAGAGAGAGACCAGAGAGAGACCAGAGAGAGAGACCAGAGAGAGACCAGAGAGAGAGACCAGAGAGAGACCAGAGACAGAGATCAGAGAGAGACCAGAGAGAGAGACCAGAGAGAGACCAGAGAGAGACCAGAGAGACCAGAGAGAGGCCAGAGAGAGACCAGAGAGAGAGACCAGAGAGAGACCAGAGAGAGACCAGAGAGAGACCAGAGAGAGAGACCAGAGAGACCAGAGAGAGAGACCAGAGAGAGACCAGAGAGAGCGACCAGAGAGAGACCAGAGAGAGACCAGAGAGAGAGACCAGAGAGAGACCAGAGAGAGACCAGGGAGAGAGACCAGAGAAAGACCAGAGAGAGACCAGAGAGAGACCAGAGAGAGACCAGAGAGAGACCAGAGAGAGAGACCAGAGAGGGGGATGGAGATTTATGATCAAGGAGAGAGTCTCTGACCTCAGTGTCATTTGAAGAGAGAAACCTGTAACATGTACGTCCCGTAATTAGAGAAGAACAAATAATATAAACTAAGAAGAACTGAGGAAAGTGAGACAATGCTTAATAAAAGACAGATACGAGAGGTAGGATTATGGGTTGTGTTGTGATGAGGGATATGTACAGAAATATATACAACATGTACCAAGTGCACTGTTGGTAGTTGATCGGAGTAAGGTCCACAGTCCAGAACCCTGACCCAAGAGTGTAATCCACAACGCGATGGGTTATTGTCCACGTGTAAAAGCAGCACAGATAGTTCCAGAGTATGAATATTGTCCCCAAAAGCGTTGGAAGTGGGTGAGGACGTGGCTGTGGGTGAGGACGTGGCTGTGGGTGAGGACGTGGCTGTGGGTGAGTTATGTGGCTGTGGGTGAGGATGTGGCTGTGGGTGAGGACGTGGCTGTGGGTGAGGACGTGGCTGTGGGTGAGGACGTGGCTGTGGGTGAGGACGTGGCTGTGGGTGAGTTATGTGGCTGTGGGTGAGGACGTGGCTGTGGGTGAGTTATGTGGCTGTGGGTGAGGACGTGGCTGTGGGTGAGGACGTGGCTGTGGGTGAGGACGTGGCTGTGGGTGAGGACGTGGCTGTGGGTGAGTTATGTGGCTGTGGGTGAGGATGTGGCTGTGGGTGAGGACGTGGCTGTGGGTGAGTTATGTGGCTGTGGGTGAGGACGTGGCTGTGGGTGAGGACGTGTCTGTGGGTGAGTTATGTGGCTGTGGGTGAGGACGTGGCTGTGGGTGAGGACTTGGCTGTGGGTGAGGACG